AACATAGGAAACATATGTTTAGATTTACGACTACTGAATTCAACATAGGAAACATATGTTTAGATTTACGACTACTGAATTCAACATGGAAACATATGTTTAGATTTACGACTATTGAATTCAACATAGGAAACATATGTTTAGATTTACGACTACTGAATTCAACATAGGAAATATATGTTTAGATTTACGACAACTGAATTCAACATGGAAATATATGTTTAGATTTACGACTGCCCCCCAGTAGCACAGCGGTATGTCTGCAGACTTACAACGCTAGAATCCGGGTTTCGATACCCGTGGTGGGCGGAGCACAGCTAGCCCATTGTGTAGTTTTGTGCTTAATTACAAATAAACAAACAGATTTACGACTACTGATAGTACCTGTGTTACAATGAATTTTTTTCAATTTGAAAACCCGAATAAAAGAAACTTAAAAGATGTATAATAATGTTGAATTATTCTATTTTATATTAACAAGTAAAATCACGATAATGGACTTAAAAAGTAATTTAAAAAAACTTTACGCAGCCGAATAATCCATCTCGGAAGTTTTCACTTGTTTGAACCTGAAATAACCAAGTTAGTGTTAGGTTAAGTTAAATTGTGGCGTCTATATTGCAACGTTTCAAACAATTTAAAAACTTGTATAGAAAATACCTTGGACACAGACTGCATAACGTAAACAGGGTAATACAATCCCAAGTACGTTACCCTGGGAGACGAAACGACGCCGGCCAGACACTGTTATGAACATAAACCTTACGTCCTCACCTGCCAACTTCTGAACGTAGAATGGAATGGAAGCGCGCGAGACACTTGTCAGCATTGTGAAAATGCCAGAACATTGGCTTGAAGTAATCAAGCTATTCCTTGTGTTGTTGCGCCATCCAACAGCGCCATCTTGCAGAGGAAACCAGTAGAACTGATTTTCTTTCTTCTTTTTTTTAACCACTTTTATTTCTTTACAATTCATATTCAATTTGTTTTTAATTCAAATAAAAACAACCCAGTTTGCACTGTCGACTCTAGAAGTTGTCTCTCTTATTTTTTTTCATTTCAATTTGGAAAGTCAATTTCCATCGCTAATTCATTTCCAAATTCTTTTTTTTTCAATCGTTCGTAATCTTATTTTCGTAAGTCATAAGACTATAAACGCATCTCTTTTTTAAATCAATTATCATTTTGTAATTTAAGTTTAGTGCTAAGTAGGATCTTAAAATAAATTCTAACTACGATTTAAAAATATATATATTTTTTAAATCCAGATGGCATTTTCTACTTTAACGTTTGTCCAAGCTGTTGTTTACCAAATCAACGACTGCCAATAATTTATAGCTCATTTGTTTCAATAATAAAAATCTATGCTATTCATATTTCACCAAATCTTTACGATTGGGGTTGCACGTAACAGCTTATCTTTCTTGCGTCCCCTCTGGTTATGTCCCCATCCCCGGTGACCTAGCGTTACGCTTGAAAGCTTATAAAGCTAAAATTCGATGTTCAACCAGTACAATTGGCACAGCACAGACAGTCAATTGTGCAGAAATTTAACGTTCAACCAGTACAATTGTCACAGCACAGATAGCCCATTGTGCAGAAATTCAATGTTCCACCAAAGAAATTGGCTCAACACAGATAGCCCATTGTGCATTCAATGTTCAACCAGTACAATTGGAACAGCACAGACAGCCCATTGTGCAGATATTCAATGTTCGACCAGTACAGGTGACTCAGCACAGATAGCCCATTGTTCATTCAATGTTCAACCAGTACAATTGGAACAGCACAGATAGCCCATTGTGCAGATATTCAATGTTCAACCAGTACAATTGGCTCAGCACAGATAGCTAATTATTCA